GTCGCGCCGCGGCCGCCGCCCCGCGCCACTGACCTGCCGCCGCGCCGCCGGCTGGGGCTGCGGCTCGGGAGCTGCTGCCGCTGCCGCAGGGGGACACGGGGACAGCGGGCCCGCGCCGCCCGCCTCTCGCCTCGGCCCTGCCCCCTCCCGCCTCCTCCCTCGGCCCCCACGCGGCGTCAGCAGCGGCGCGACGCACGGCCCCGCGCTGAGCAAAGCCCCGCGGCGCCGCGCGCGCATGCGCGGTGCGGCAGCGGGTGGGGCAGCCGCGCCTCGGGCTGGAAAGCGCATTGGCTGCTCGCGGGCGGGCGGGGGCGCGGGCCTTTTCTGTTGGCTGTCGGCGCCTGGTGACGTCACGGCGGCAGTGGCGGGAAAGGTTCGAAGGCGCGGACCGAGGGAGCGGGCGGGCGGCTGTTGACAGGTGGGCCGGGCCGCGGCGCGGCCGTTAACGGTCGCTGGCCGTGGCGGGGCCGKTGCCCGGAGCAGCGCGGCGGGTCGGTCGGGGGCGGCTCGCAGTGGCGGCGTGGCCGTGGGGAGGAGGGCAGCGGTGCGGAGTCGCCGCCTCCCCTTGGCTGCTGTGTGCGCCTTCCCTCCCGGAATGCCGGGAACAGGGCTGCGAACAGCGTCACGGGAGGCTCGCGTGGAGCGGCCTCGTAGTGCTTATTTGTCAGTCTGYTGCCGTGGGAGCAAGGCCGCAAAGCCGATGTGTCCTGTGGCCAGTGTTCGTGATGTTGCTGTTAATGGTACTTGGTAACCTCGCAGGCGCTGCTCGTCAAGCCCTGAGGCAAGCCGCAGTGCTGACGGGCTGTTAGCAACCTCGCTAACATCCAGCTCCCGAAGAAGAGCGGCCCTCATAGTACTTTGTTCCTGGTTTCAGCAGCAGCAGATACCCCTGAAGTTATTTTGAGCTGCCTTTGAATATGTAAAGGAGCTCAGCTTYACGGGCAACCGGTTTTGAAAATCCGTTATCTTTATTTTTTTATCCGTTAAGCGTGACCAAGACAAGTCAATAAATGCTTGGCAAAATGAGCCAATTAATGATTTATGTGGTTGCTTCTGGATGCCAATGAGCACAGTTGTGATTATTTGCAATTGCAAACTGGTTCTTGTGAACCAACATTCATTCTGAGTATGCCCAACATTCATTTAAGTTGATTTAAAGTAGATGTTGACACCTATTAAAATGCCTTGTATTTTTAATCTGTAGGCTTAAATTGTTGTGTTAAATTATTTCCAAGGTGTTCCTTTAAAATACCCACATCAAGTATGCCTTGAGGTAGGGAGCCAAGATGTATGTGGAGATTTTTGACTTGTTTTTCCACTTAACTTTTTGTTTTTTTCTGAGGGGAAAGAAAAAGTGATCAGACATGGGTTTTCAATACATTTTCCTTATGACTCTGATGATTTCTAACATTTTTTTTTCCTGTTACTCAGGCTATATGAAGATATGAATATTCACAAAATAAACTGTTGGATGACTGTTTTGCCAAACAATGACTTCTCAAGAATTTACTGTAAGTCTTTTWAAAAAAAAAATGCAACAAAGTATAAGTAAACAAAACTAATCTGATATCAATGTAACTGCTGTATTATTTAACATTTTCTTGTTATTTCAACATTTACTCTTTGAATCAGGTATTATACACTCACCAAAAAATGAAGAAATCAAAAACGTGGCAAGATGGAATTCTGAGGATTAGAACTGGAGGAAATAAGGCGAGCAAATTAAATTTAAGACAATTTGATGTCATCTGCTGTTGTTTGACTGTCAGTGTTACTGCTGTAAATCTGTGAAAAAAGAACTTGATATTAACATTAAGTTCTCTCTTTCATTGCAGGCAGTCTTGTTTGATGATAAAGGACAATGTTTGGAGAGCATATTTGTAAAGTCTCAGGTATATTTTGTTGAAGAGTTGTTTTATTTGTGTGATTGTTGGCTTGTGTTTCAGGAGGCTTTTCTAACTTGTTCTTTTAAGTGATTAAGCTAGTTCCTCTTTTTCTCTCTGATGCTATGGTTGGTAGTTTATTGTTTCTTTTCATGAAAATCTGCTGWGGTACAGATAATGAAATGCTAAAACTGCTTCCGTTTATTGATAAAACTAACTTTTCCGGAAGCAATGTTGAAAACCTATATAAAGGTCTTATTTTAGACTAAAAGCAATGTATTATGGTGATATATTAAGTCACTATGACTCAAAACTAAATGTTAATGTTTTCTTTTGTGTTTGGACTGGCAATTTGTACGGAGAGTAGTGTTATACTGGGTGAAAAAATGTTAAGTTTCTGGGTGTTTCTTTTATGTGCAAGTGTCACAACACTTAGAAGGAAGTGGTTTTGTTTCTTACGTAGCACCATTAGGAACATGTTGTTGCCTTCTCTTTCTAGTTGAATGCTGGAGATAATTTGGAAAGTGAACGCTATCTGATCACTATTGAAGCAGTAACACTGGATGAAAAATCTTCGAAAGATCAGCCGAGGAAAGCAGAAATTCCAGCAGTGAATAACAGTGTTGTAAAGCCTCTAAGACACTTGCCTGTTGGGTTGAAAAGGAAGTTTACAGTATGTCTTTGTTTCCAAAGTTGTCTACATTTAAATTTTTTTTTTCTTCCTCTTTGTAATGAGTGATAAATATGCAGATAACGTCTCCCTGCTTTTTTTTTGAACTGGAACCGGAGTATGTTACTGGTAGCTGCTTTTTTGTAGTTTACTAAATCTTTAGTTTAGCAGAATTGCTGGTGCTAAGGGCACAGTAAAAGTCTCAAGAGTTTGACATTGTTTCTGTACATGAATCACTGAGATATTTGGTTAGAATATAGTTTATGAACCATGTCTTGCTTTCATCTTTTAGATTACCAAGTATAAACTTGATTTGTGAGTAGAATTAATTTTAAACTTTTCTTTTAGGGCTTCCAAGTGCCACGCCAGGTTGAAAAGAAAATATTGACRGAGGAAGATGAAGGAAAAGCACCTGTACTGCCTTTATCCGAGCAGTGTCAGGGTTCTTTTCCGTCTCAGTTTTATATCACCTCTCCCTTATTTTCTACGATTTGCAAGAAGGATACACATGCAAATATACCTACCGACTTTCATGAAGAGGTCTATACAAACAGTGATAAAGAACATACATCTTTCCCCTCACTSTTTTCTGCTCCTTTTCTTGATACGGGTAAAGATACAGAGCAGAGGAACTCTGATGAGTCTGTTGTGAAACCAGAGYATTCTGCAATTACAGAGCACACCAAGACAACCAGTCATGTGGCTGTGTCACAGAACATCAGGAGCACGGCACAGATAATAGCTCTTTTGAAATCCAAGCCAGCACAACCATGCAGAGAGCAAGCAACTTCCGCCGTCACAGAGTGTCATCCCAGGTTTCACATGTCAGACAACATAGGTGGTGGCAATAACAGAAATAGGACAACTTTACMCAGCTTTTCAGGCAACCCTGACATAGGACTTGATCAAAATATTCAGCAGCAGTGTTTTACAGAGGAAACTGAAAGTGATAAAAGGGGATGGCATGCTGAAATGCTGCTAAATTCAGCTGAACAACCTTGTGATGAAGAAGTTGTGAGACAAACACCTGACAGAAAGGCAGATAACTTAAGTCAAGTCTTACAAGAGCACTTCAATACAAAGACTTTGCACCCTGGAAAAATGTGTACCTGTACGAATGTAACAGACTGCAAAGGGGAATGTAATTGTGATAGAGAAAGATATCGAGAACCCTCATTTTCCAGCAGTGAAGGGGGACCTACGCTGTTATCAATTCACAGATGTGCTGCCAATGACCAACTAAATTGCTTCCTCTCTGAAGCCAGCATAGGCAAAATGAGTGACAGTCAGTTTAGCTCATCCTTAAGTGATATTTCTTACTCTGCAAGTCCAGCAGAGTCCACTGCCCTTGAAATAAATCCCTCCACATCTGGGAAGCATTCAGTGATCAGTGGTCTTACAGAATCACAAAATGAACTCCAGCCAAGGCAAAATTCAGAAATACAATCTAGTAAGTTGGAACTCTCTGCAGGTATGGCATTGAGTGAACTTCAAGCTGTAGAAGAGGAATCAGGTACCTGTGACAGAGACAGTGGTCCAGACGAACAGGTGATGGAAGTTAACTTCAATTTATTGGAGGCTTTTGATTTTAATGACTCGGACAATAAGGACCTGTGTGAAAGAGATGCAGAAGAGCTTGGTGAAAAAGCTGCGCTTTCACAAGGTTCATCTTGTTTAAATGAAAAAGACGAAGCACAAACCGTTGAATTGAGACTTCATTCTTCCTATAAAGTAACATCACACAGCAAAAACAAAGAAGTACAAGGTTTCCCATTTGACGGAGAGACTGATGGCAGCCTCTCTACGGGAGATATATCACTGYTCCCTCGTGATAACAATGTTGGTGACACTGGGAGAGCTGCAGAAGACTCAGTAAGCCTCACCAGAATTGAAATGGAATTTTCGGAGGGTGAAAACAAAACAAAACAAATTAAGGAAAGTCAGTTAAMTATTGAAGCTAGGACTTCTCAGAAGGACCTTGATGGCTGTGCAGAAAATACCATTATTGACAAGCCCATAAAAGGCAAGGACAGTAATTCATGCATTTCTGCCAGCGGAATGATTTCTGCCATGGGCAAAAGAACAGAAGATCTTTTACCACTTGGATACACAAAATCCCAATACACAGATTTAGAACATTCCCAGGGTACTAGTAATGGTGACATTACACCAGGTACTCCATTCCCAGCTTTGTCACAAGTATCTGATGTTTCTTGTCGCTCACTCAAACATAGTGCAGAGGACCAGCAAAATTTATTTGACATTTCTTGTAAGGAAGATACTGTAATTTCCACAAGTACCATCTGTCTCTTAGGAAAAGGCCATTTGTCTCCAGAGGAAACAGAAATAGGTGAAACTGAGTTTGAAAATATAGAGAGCATAAGTTCCCTTCATGATGCCTGCGAAGGTGAAAGAATAGGGATGGACTGCCTGAAAAGCACAGCATTTGTTGAAAAATCATCAGAACTTCCTGATTTGGTAAACAATATCGCTCTCTTAAGARCTTTGACTGAACATAGCACAGCATTAGAAAGCTTACAAAAGATACAGGAAAATAGTAGCTTACTATATGAAGCAGAGACTTTTAAAGAGATATTTGAACCCCTTGTAAAAGATGAAGGTTAGGTCAGTTTCTATCTTAAATTGATTTTTGTATATGGATTTTCATATATTTGACTTCTGCRTTTTGTTTTTCTTGCTGGATGATTTATATCCAGGAATTGTACTTTTGCAGTGACACGTTATGAAAGCTACCTCACGTAATGTTTAGTGTTTAAAGTACCTGTGGGGGCTCAAAATCTGCTTCTGTGTTTGCTTTAGTTTGGTTATTTTCACTTGTGCAATTATTCATATGGGTATGGTTTCCAAACTAAATAAATATTCAGCTCTTTTCTATCAAAATGAACACTCTGACTGAAACTAATGATGCTTTTCAATCTCTTGTAGCTGTAAAACAATTAACAGAAATACCTTACCTGGGAAGTAGAGATACACCTGCTTGTTCATATTTGGATTCTCCCAAGCTTATGGTAACCAATTTTTTACTACATATATGTATCYCTGCAAAATAAACCTGTTTTTAACATGGCTTACACAATTCCTGATTTATGAAACAATGGTTACTGGAAATTCTTTAAAGATATCAACTGATGAGCTGGGAGTAAACAAAGCATTTAATGTTATGGACATATTGCCAGTAAATGTTGATGAAACTGAAAGTGTAACAGGAAACTTAATGTCAATTGTACTATCTATTAATGTTTTATATCACATAAGTTATCAAGTGTGACACTTGCTTTCCTGTGTTACCATCTTTTACTATTTAGCTTCTCTTTCTTTCATCATCTTTTTGGACTCATGGCTCTGCTAAGAACTTTAGCATTTGGATGGATATGTGCTAGCAACCTGTTGAAAAAAACGTTGCGTTTTGCTGCTTCTTCAAATTGATTTTATCCAATACTATTACTAGTTTTTCTCTTTTGACTGCCTTCCAAATGAAAGAAAGGTTTTTAAAATGARTTCTTCAATTTTTCCCAACCCATTTGAGCTGCAAACATATTTTATTAGCCTATCACTGATATCATATTTTTTGGAAGGTGGGGCAGGGGTACTTCGATGTGAAGAGGATATAACTTAAAATATCCTCTGCTGTAGCAATACATAGATTTTTCCAAAGTGCAAATTCTGACTAGCTTAAGGTCCTGTCTTACCTGGTTGTTAACCTGATTAACTAACTAGGTTTTGGTACTTTTATATGCAGCCCCRCTGCGTGGACTACATGTTACAGAAAAGTGAAGCATCTGTTCTACCAACARCACTGGACCAAGGAGACGCTAGGAGCCTTGATGGCCAACCACAGGTAAAATTCTGGGGAATCAATGTAGAATGCGCTCTCCTAAAATTCACTTCAGTAGTTCATAGTAGTTCTATACGTTACAAAAACTCCTAGTAAATACTTAGCCAATCTCATAACAGTCTTCTCRGATGGATTACTTTTTAGWTCATTTGTCTGTAGGCTTTTTTCCRTTGAGAATTTCAAACTCACATTTCACAATGTGAAAGTGAAGGCTAAGATGTATTACATCAGACAGTCAGTTTTCTGTTGATAAAGAGATTTTTCCAAAACTTTATTGTTGCTACGTTGCAGAGGTGCAAGGGAAAGATGGCTTTGAGCATATTTTCCCTCTATTACAGCTCTAAACGGGTGATCTTTGTTGTATGCATGCACACTATTTTTATTGATTAGATAGTTCCTGAACAGTTATTATTTTCAGTTAATGATAATTCTACTATATTGTGTAGCTTGTTGAGTTTCAAGGACACAGAGTAAAAGGGTCAGCAACTAGAGAGATAATGCTGAGAGCTCCCCGCCCAGTGCTAGGATGGCAACAGGACCCAGATACTGTGGAGTTTGCAGCTGAGAGATTTTCTGTTTCACCTCTGTTTCCAAGCAGTTATATTCTTTCTGACTGCAGACAGGTAAAACTTTTTTTTTTGGAAGATATTTTTACTAACCTTAATGCAAGACAGTATCCTGTAGAACACAGTGAACATATCTACATTATTAGGAACTAAGGCTAGTGCTTCGTGGTTAAAAGTTTGCAATTAGGTATTTTTATTTTGCTCACCTTTGTCTCAGCAGTACATGTCTGCAAGAGCCATGTCTTGTCTGTGTGTGTGTGTATTTGCGGAGAGCATTGTTTTATTTTCAAAATAAACCTGATCAGATAGGAAAAAAAAAGTTGCAAGGAGCTTTTGTAATAGTAATTTCCTGTGGTAAGTAGTATAATAGTCATCTTAAGTGAAAATGAAACATGAGATGCAACGTAACACACGCTGTTCTTCTAACATGGTATCCTTTCAGTATTGCAAAACTGGAAGCAAATCAGAAATATGCATACTTTTATTTCCAGAATGTGCTACAGATGCTCTAGATTTATGTTTAAAAATAAGATCTTCATCAAAARAAAATATTTAAAGAGAGGATTCAAAAAATATTAAATTTCTAACAAGTTTTTGTTCCTGCTGTTTTTATAAAGTCTCCACATTCAAGAAATTGTCATGAATATGATACCAGTATGACTGGAGAAGGGCATTTTCAAACAAAGTCTAACRTTATTAAGGAGGCAATAGTGGCTGAAACCCGTAAGTGAAAGTAAAAGCAGAGTGGCAGTGACGGGCTTCGGGGAAAGAGATGCAGCGTGACTGCTGTGCTTCCCGTGTTTCTCCTAGCCTTAGCACTGAGCGTAGGTGCTGAGGTTCCCAAATGGATTGTGTCGGGCGCAGCCTCGCATTCTGATSTGGAGCAAATGCCTTGGACTTCCTGGGAACTTTACAAGGTGTGAACTGATCCCCTTGTAGGGTGTTTTTTGTTTTTGTTTTTTTTCCCCTGCCTGAGTTCATGGTAGCAATTTTATGTCAGATTTAGTACTTTCTAATCTCAACCGAGAGACATTGCAATGAGAACGATGAGAGAGACAACAATGACAAAAGAGCTATAATCAAGCTGKTGCTCTCCCTCTCCCCAGTGTCCTTCACTTGACATGTTAATTCTTCATCTCTAGACGATGCCATCCGAACAACCGACTTTCTCACTTAATTCAGACTGTCCAATTTCTCCATCTTCAAGAAAGGAGGAAACTATGGAAGACATYCAGGAGGTCCTGTCAGACAGGATGTTACCAACTAACACAGAACTTTCAGAATGCTTCTTCAGTAAGAAATTGTAGTTGTTAATTGCAYTTCACAGTATTTTTGCTAGAAAAATCTCTGAGATTCATTGAAGCATGAATCCAACTATAGAAGCACCCTGAGCCCTGAAATAGTCTGATTCTATATATGTCTGGGTAACTACAGACTTATATTTGTATTTATTTCATCATGTTTGAATATATGTTTGTCATTTGTAATACAAATTTTAGTAATCTGTAGCCAGATCAATTAAATGAGCCYGGGGTCCACCTAAAATAATACGCTTTCTTGAAAGAAACTTTCCTGGACTGGTTCTATTTAAGGAATAACTTATAATTTTAAAATAGCTCTTAGAATAGCTTTTAGCTTCTAGTTTTTAAATAAATAAATAAATATAACAGTCCATAAGCTAAGCTCTAATTCATGGTGGTATTTTGCATTTGTTTACTTGCTTTTGGTTTTCTTCCTTATTATGCTGCCTTGTGACCCACTTCCAKTGCTTAAATTGTCTATCTCTTTTTATTGATATGGAATTTAAACCAAAGGATGCTTGTAAGGCTAGAAGCCTCTTGTTCTTGTTGGTTAATATGAATTCTATGCAGTTTTGTGTGTGATATTTTGGGTAAAGATACAAATGTTAGGTTGATGGTTTGTTTTTCAGTTAGCCGCTGTAGTGAAAGCCAAAAATATCATAACTTTTAATAACTTCCAGAATTTAAATAATTTCAGCCTAAAAGTACAGTACATATAAAAATGTGCCCTGAGTTTGGGGATATAAATAGGAGTCACGGTTGCTCGTTGTGTATGGCATGAGAGTAACAGAAAAGCTTGCCAATTAGAAGACAGGATGTAAAATGAAAATGGAGAACCCTGAAATATTTCTTTAGCTTTATTTCTGTGCATTTGCAAGTGGTGCATGTTGCCTGTAAGATGTATGTATGTATGCTACAGCACAGGAGGAACCCAGCTACGCAGAAGAGCGCAACGTCTCGAGACTGAAAGCCGCAGTTAAAGCCCGAGCCCCGCTTGTCACTGTTCCTGCCACCGGGAAGGTTCCTGGCACAGAAGTTTATCTAAGGGACTGCGAGGGGCTGCAGCAATCTGCTGGATCTTTGGTAGTCAATTTGTGCAACAGGTCAGCAGTGTTTCCTATCGGTGCTTTTGGCCCYGAGGACAGGAATTATGAAACCTCGCTGTTTGAGGAGTACACAGAACACGAACAAAAGGAGTCCCTACATCCAATGTTTCCTAATGTGACTTCACAATTTAGACAAAGCAAGTGGCTCAAATACCAAAACAGTGCTCAGTGTGACTYGATAACTCAAAACAGCGGTGATGTGGAAGTGACTGATGATATCTGGGCAGAGAACATCCTTGGAATGCCAGCGGGTGACACAGGAGAGAGCCAGCGCAGCGCCGTGAGTAAAAGCGCTCCCGGCTCTGTGCCTCTGCGCACGGAAAAGCGCGTGGATGGAAAGCGCTCTGCAAATGACCAGGACAGAGATTTAATTTCAGAGAGGAAGTTACTTTCTCTGCACTTAAGTCRGGCTCCTTTAGCTGAAGCAACACAAAAGGTGTTAAGTCATCTGAGCTGCCGCACTGTAACGGGAGAAGGCCAGGTGTGTAACTGCTCAAGCAGATATAGTTACGACAAAAATGTTTGGGTTTTTTGTTTTTTTTTTTTTTCTGGACAAAGTAGCTACATTTATCTGATTTCCTGTGAGATACTGTCACTGTGATTGGGTGAAGTGTTTCTTTAGTGCACTTGAGTAACACAAAGGAGTCTCAGCTACAGAACAGCAGCTACTAATGTAATTTTCAGAGCCGTGACTAATCCTTTATAAAGATAATTCCTTGACACAGGTAGTGACAGATTTAGATTTGTAATCAGAATGTTGCTGGCAGGAATACAGAGTAAATTGGTTGGACTGATTTATCAGTATGTTTTTAAAAATGATTTGCTTGATTGTGAAAGTTGCTAATGGTTTATTTTTCTACTTCTTAGGACATAACAGTTTCTGAGTTGTCCTTTCCTAGTGTGGATAAAGTGAAAAATACTAATCTTCCCAAAAGGAAGATTGCTATTCCATCTGCTTTTCAGTCTCATGTTCATTACAAACAGATTTTTACAGCTGCTTTGACAGGTATGTCTAATGCTCTGAAAAATGCTGCTGTTTGTGAATAGGATGTAATTCAAAATACACATTTCTGAAGCTTCCCAAAAGTGACTGGGGAGGTAGATAATGTCCACATCATCCTTTTGAACAACTTTTTCCATTTGCTTTTGTTTATCTGTATACTCAGATATGTTCAGTTTGTACCCAAAGCTGCAAAAACAAACCAAAAGAGGAGTTTACTTATGTTCCAGTATGTAAACATGAGCTTGTTTACCAGTCTTTACATTTTTTTTCAGGTATAATTATTTAGTATTTGGATCTTTTGGAGCCATGTATTTAAATGTGATTTGTATGAAAGTAAGGCAATTATAAGAAGTCAATTGCATGTGCTAAAATGTGGACTTTGCAGRCTCGGAAGATAAGTGGTTCCTTTTAGGTCTTGGATTAAATATTTTAATTGCAATCTGGGATTGACAATTTCAAATGAAAATGTGCTTCCTTTAATGTTTTGTACTCCTGTAACCATTTTAACATGGTACTAATTGCTCTTTTATTCTCCTTTTTATGTCAAGAGCATTTAAACATAATTCTATTTGAGCTGTCACAAAGGTTACACAAGGCTCTTTCCAAAGTGGATATATCATTTTACACTTCATTCAAAGATGGGCAAAATGAGAGCCAAGCAAGCCACGTTCCCCTGTGCAATCACATGCTTCCTGCTAAGCTCACTGTGGTTAAAAAAGAAGGTCAGAACAAGGTGCTGTTTATTCCTTGTTTATTTACAGTTTGGGATATTTGTCTGTTTGTCGTGTAGATTATATTCTGTGAGCAATTAAAGAAGGACTCTAAATGTATTTTGTGATGACAAGTTAAATAGAAATGCTACGGAGATCACTTTTAAGATCGCTTTTAATAGCTGCTGATGTCCAGAGCTAGTAGTTCTGTCCATATGGAAATAGATTTGTATATGTGGAGMGAGATACAAACTTGTAATTGTCTAGGTTATAGGGGAGTTCTGTAAATGAAGATTACAGAGTGGCTCTAGAATATGAGGAAAAAAAAAAAAGACGCATTTGTTCTTGCAGAAGAATGTGCTGAAAATAAAGGAGCTTTACCTGCTTGTACTATATAGCAGCTAGTACTGGTCGATTGCTGTATGCATTTGTGCTTGTTTTRAAGTGCTAATGGTCTATTTTGTGTTGTGGTTTTCTTTCCCCTTTAGGGTCGTTTGTTCTATAGCTGTGATGCTCCAAAAGCTGAACGGTGTGCATTTTTCAGATGGATAGAAGAGGTGAACCAAGGAGAGAGAAAATCCAGACCCACTGTAGTGCTTCATGATATAAAAAGTGTTGGGGCGTACCTCAGAAGTCAAAAGATTTCCCTCTATGAGGGATGCCAGCTTTTGGTGAGGTATTGGGAAAGCCATACACTTGCCAGTAGGGTTAGGTGAARTGTGGCATTTATAGGTATACCAGTAACTCTGTGTTTCAGTAGAATTTCAAAGACATGCTCAGTAATATATTTGAAAGGATTACAGTTTTGTATAGGAAGCTAAAAGCTAAATTACTGAAAGACTGAAAATTAAAATTTTTAGGTAAAAATATTATATTAATAGCATTGGCATTTCAAAACAGTATTCTTTTCATCAAGAATCAAAATTGCTAACTGGCAACTTGATCAACTGCTCAGTCAAGTTCCTTACGACAGTTCTGTTTGATTTATTATTCACTTAAAGTTTGTAGGAGAGTTTAAGACATGGTCTGATATATTCATGTCGTGATACTTTTTAAATTTGATATTTGGTAAAGACCAAATTATTGATCATTAATATTAATGAGAACAGGAAAACCTGGCTGGGTACAACATACATGTTCTGATGTTACCCTTAGAGATTCAGTCTAAGACTGTCTTTCTGCACTGGTTAAGTGTAAGAGAACTAATTTAAATTTGGCCGACTATCAGAAGTATTTCCTAGTAAAGATAAGTATTTTTAAGTGCTGCTCATTTAAGAAGATGCACAAACACTAAAACCTGTGTTGCAATAGCTTGATCTCATCTCTGAAGCTTTCTTACTTTTTTGTGATGATTCCAAAATGTGCTGTTGATTAAACAGTTTCTCTTAAAAATATAATTTAACAGGAAAGCTTTTGAAATTCAAACAAAACAGTTTAATAAGTTGAAGAAATTTATGAATACTCACGCCAATTTCGAAGGGGATTCCAAGCGCAAATTATACCTCAAGCTGAGCAGRAAGGAGCATTCTTCTACCTATAGTAAAGGTAAGCAAATTGGAGTGTCACAAGGATTATTTATATCTAGATTCATGTCGTGCGTTTTTCAGTTTTGAGTTTTAATGGAAAGAGAAAAGCTAAACCTGCTTTTTGAACCCTTGACAGGACTAGTAATTTAATTCTCTTTCTACAAGCCAACAAAGTAATTAATTCATCTTTTTTGCTAAATAAATCCATCTTTAGAAAAATATTAAGGTTGTGTTTTTAGGCTYAGATTATATTGTCAGCCCCGAAGTTTCAGGTGGGCAGTCTTCTGCTAGATAATAGGGAAAACTTTATGTGAAAATTGGTGTTTGAATAATTGCTGGATATCTCTGCTAATTTAGCGAAATATGAGAATTTTGGAAGACATTCAGTGATCTTCTCTACGTCGTCTCCGTTTGCTTTGCTTCAGGAACTGATGAATTGATACTTAGATCTTTGTAGTTTGCTTAGCTGTGGAAAAGAGTGGAAGATGAGGCAGAAGCAAACATGAGTACTCACTTTTTGTGTGGATTCTGAAGCGTTCTGATAAATGCTGTTCTTGTACATTTAGATTCTGAAACTCTGCACGGGCAGAACTTCTCCTTGTGTCTTGGCATTGTTTGACATATTTAGGCCTTTGATCCCACATACTTTCATTTTAGTGCTGGCTTAATTTGTAGTATAGTAATGTTGGACTTATGTTGGGCTTTTTTTTTTTTTTTTCCCCTTGCAAGTCTGTAGTAGAAAAAGCTTGTGATAACTGTGCATTATTTTGACAGATGACATCTGGGTTATTTCAAAGACTCTAAACTTTGATCCCCTGGACACTTTCATTGCAAGTAGCGCTTTCTTCGGACCATCATCCAACAATGAAGTGGAATTACTGCCTCTGAAGGGCTATAGTCCCTCAAACTGGCAAACGAATAGTAAGTTTTGCATCAAATAATTTAGCATTCAGTAAAGGCAGCACTGTGGGAAAAAACATGGCCCAGGATGAAGACTGAGGTGGGATTTTTTTGAAGTCTAATACATCATTTTATTCACAGGATGCTTTCATTTTAAGTATGTTTAGATATGTAATTTAAATTCAGTACTTAGGTAATTAAAACTATGAAGAAAGGAGCAATAATTTCTGGGCTTTAAAAAATTTAAAATGTAAAACTTTAAAAATTAGACCCTTTTTAAAAAAACACTCTTTAAATTAAGGGCTTTAAATTCAATGGGAGGCTTTGTTTTTACCCTGAGTATAAATTGCAAAGCCTCAGAGCAGTCAGGGTCTAGGGGAGTTTAGTGTTCCAGTCTTATTGTTGCTGCACTGCAGGATTTCAGCTTTATTTCTCCTTAGGACATTTTTGGTATTAGCAGCCTCCCGATCACAAATACAGATTTTATTTCATGCCTCCATGAGCTTTACCAAACTGAAAGACTTAAGAGTACTATGAAAACAAAACTTTAAGTGATATATAATAGCTGCCAATTCTAAACATTAAAATCGATATATGGGGATTACTAGACATAGTAGAAACTYTCCTCCTTCTTCTTGCTTAAGAAATCCCCATGTCGGACAACCTTAGGCTTCTGGCAGAGAATTCRGAAAAACACAGTTAGGTATATGCTCAGTTCTCTTGCTCCGCAGGCATCCTCTTGGGATATTTTGGAAAGAGACCTTTAGTCTGGCTCAATTTAGGTGTGTTTGTGGCTTTTGATGGGGTTTTTGTAAGAACACAGCTGTTTAGCAGATGAGAAATCATTCTGCATTGTAATGAAAATATTCATAGACAATACAATTTGARCTGCTGTAGTACAGGTGGGTTAATCATGAAGTTCACCTATTAAATGCTAAAGCCTTGAAAGAACTCTTCTACAAGTATTTTTAAATAATGAGGAAGATTTTTATCTAAATTTGCATCCCAGAAGGATCCTAATGTTGGAATTACAAATATCTCAAAATAACACACCTTGGAAAGAAGAATTAAGAGATTGCTTTGCTCTATAAGAATCAGTCATACCTGGGAATATGTTCAGTTTATTTTCTGATGGARGAAGGAATAATTCTTTTGATGTTTTGCGGCTCACCTCTTGAGCTGATACAAAATTTTGACTAATTTCACCTTTTCCTAATCTTACTTTTCTGTGCCCTCTTCAGCGCTTGTTCATGCCTTGCTGGTATGTAATGCTAGCAGTGAGCTGACGTCCTTAAGAAATATGGAGGAGTTCTTCAATCCAGCTACTCTGCCACTACTACCGTATCTCCTAAAAATGTAAGTTACTCTTTCACTGTGAACGTGCTGGACAACTTTATAGCCATTGGATTGATAATACAGTTTCRTGACTGTATTAAGTGAATGTGTATTCTTCATGGGATTCATTAAAAGTTTCTTTTCCTAGCAAACTTCACAAATTTCAGAATCTTTTAGAAAGAAAACACAGTAAAGGGGGAAAAAAGAAGGAACTATTTCCTTGGAGAATCAAAGCAATACAGGGATGTATCTAAGACTACTTGTGATAAACTGGATAAAACAAGTAATTATATCAACTCCCATTACTTCTAGCTGTGAGATTGTTTAACTCTGTCAAACTCCAGCTTTGGAATTCTGCCAGCTTTGGAAGAATAAGTTAGACTGAAAATGCAACTTCACAACAAGAATAACTCCATCCAAAATCTATTTTGATGACCCATTTTTTACATAAGGAATTTATGGGCGGGGGGGGAAAGATACAGCGCAGGTATATTTTGGGGCTAAGGAGGACAACAATTTACAATTTCACCATTTCTTTCTGTAAAACCTCAGCATTTTTGGGTCAGATGAGTTAGAATGTCAAAAATATGAGATATAAGTTGTACGTTTCCAATATTATACATTTCATAATACTGGTCTGAATTCTTTTTTTTTTTTTTTTTTTTTTTTCTTTTTCTGTAGGAATTCTGATTCTGAAAAGGCTAATAAGAAAGTGAACAAAGGAAAATTCATTCCTCCAGCCTTAAACCTGAAATGCAGAATGATGCGTGGGCTTGTCAGCCCCGAAATAGCAATGGAACTAGCCAGAAAGATGATCCAGACATTCTCTTTGAACCCGGATCAAGCTGCAGCACTGATTCAGATAGCTGGCATGATGACAGTGGCAGAACAGCAGATCTTCCCCATCACAATCATACGTGGTAGATGGCAAATAATTGTTAAACTTACAACTATCTCTTTTCTATGAAAATAATGCTCATTCATAGGTAATGTGAGTCCTGGTGACATATCCTAAAATTCTCCTAGCAATGATAGGCGTATTCAGAATTGTTAGACACTCCAAAACAATCATCATTTCTAAAATGCATATTCCTGTGGAGAGAGTATGAGGATGCTTATGCTGACATTTGTATTATTGTAATGCCATAAGGAGACTCCTATACAAATACTGCATGTATTCCATCAGAAAATGGAGGAAGAATGTCTTATCTTACCCTCTTACCTCACTTTTTAGACACTGCATACAAAATAACTACAAAGTGTAAGCCAGTGTGTTTAAAATACACAATATACAAAGAATCCCAGCAGAATATTTCAGAAGATAAATTAGTGTTATAACAAATAATAAGAACTGTATCTCATATATATTTTTAGTCCTTATTTTTGCTCTCTTCTAAAATCCCAGGTGTTTTCGGAGCTGGAAAGAGCTATTTGCTGTCTGTAGTGATCTTGTTCCTAGTGCAGCTCTCTGAAAGCAGTGAAGCAAAGGAAAGCCGTAGGCCAATTCCATGGAAATTTCTGATTGCCTCTTCCACCAATGTTGCTGTTGACAGGATACTGCTTAGGTAGGTTACAGTGAACTAAAACTGTACGGGCCATTGTTCCAATGAAAAGAATGCTCTTTTATGGCAAGGGTAGTCATATTTGCAGCATAAAGCTTTAGAAAGATGGCATTCTTCCCCTGTGAAGTATCACCCAGGGACTTCAGATCTACCCTTTGTGCAGCTCACCTATGCCATAAGGCTAGCAGCACTGATCAATATAATGCTAATATCRAACCCAACTTTCATCACATTCACCATTTGAAACTGCCCAGTTCTCGGTAAGGTTTGGGAAGCAGCGCYAGGAGAAGGGCTTGGGGGAACTTCAGCAAATACAGGAGAATTCARCTTACTTGAATTGTATTCTGAGTTACTTTTTTTGAATAGTAGAGCTTGTGTTCTTCAGTGTTTGTTAGTATCTCTAGAACCATTTTAAGAATTTCAAAATTGATTTTTATATTTTTTGTAATATGTATCATCTCTTTTTCTTTAAAGTCTACTTGATCTTGGATTTGAGRGTTTTATCAGAGTTGGAAGTATTAGGAAAATTGCCAAACCAATTCTTCCCTACAGGTAAGAATCTTCATATTTGAAGCATCTGCAGAGATTGTAAGGCAAATGATAATTATGTAGTGCTGTAAAATTACTCTTCTGAAGTCATTCCAAATGCAATAAGCCCATCTTTTTGTTTTGAACAGTGCATAGGTTTTTACCTTGTTTGGGGAAGTTGATTTGTTGCAGAGTGGAGCTAATGATTTTAAATGGAAAGCAATAGAAGAGAACAAAATAATGGTAGTTAGAGATKTGGGAATGTACACAAGGAGAAAAGCAGAACAGACAGGACTAGAACAGATCTCTATCATTCCTAGTGATGAGAACTAGGAGGAAGTAATCATAAAATTAATGTTCAGTGACCTTATGGTAACGAGTCATGAATTCTATACTTCTTAACCAAGTTAACCTTTGTATTTAAATCTAGAGCACAGTTTAAGAAAATGAGGTATAAGTCAAGCTCAATAAAGATTGCACTCTCATTACTTGGTACTTGTAAAATGGTGAGTGAAATATTTCCAGACAGTTCTAGGTCTGAAATGAACTGCGTAGCTTGGAGCATAAGTACAGATAAGCATTTACCACGCTCCTGTGTTTGGCTGGGTTGGTGCGCTGAGCTGGTGAGATAAAGCTCTGTTTAAAACAGGGACTGTCYATCTCAGCTGGATTTGGTACAGATTAACACACTGCTGTGAAGTACCATTATGTGCTGTGTATAGTTATTTGTCTATATTGGGTGTTCACTGGAATCTGAAAGCTCTGTAATCACCTGTAGTTGTGATCCCTGTTATAAATTTGTTTTTGAAGCTTACATGCAGGCTCAGGAAATGAAAATGAACAATTAAAAGAACTGCTTGCTCTCATGAAAGAAGATTTAACTCCAGCTGAAAGAATTTATGTGAGGAAGAGCATTGAGCAACATAAACTAGGGACCAACAAGGCTGCTTTGGAACAGGTACTGTGCAAGTTGGATTGGATGGGAAAGTGAGTATTCAGCACGCTGTACCCACGAGGCCTGGCAAAGGGCAAGTGGGAAGCCCCTCTCTCRCCTGAGGCTGCCAAACTACTCCAGTTTTGAAAAATGAGTGAGTGCTGGGATGAGGCAGGTTTGATTGCACGGGTGTATCTTACTGTCTCGTGTGTATGTGGCTTCTCCTCTTTGTGCTTGTTCCTGGTGGGTATTGCTGCCACCTTTGCCACTGGGGCTCAGTAGGCTTTGCRGGGTTGTGTAGTCCTACCAGACTTGCTCTGGTATTAAATCCAGGAGTCTGAATTCTTCTAACACAGAAGCATGCCAGATACAGCAAATGTCAGCTTTTGATCCATCTCTGCGCGTACACCGTTCTTCTTGCTGAAAGGTAGAATTTAATTTCAATCTTTTAACATTTCCTCTACCCCTTTTCTCCTCACCAATAACACAGGTGAAAGTTGTTGGAGTGACCTGTGCTGCCTGCCCATTCTCCTGTATGAGTACCCTTCAGTTTCCCGTGGTGGTGCTGGATGAGTGCAGTCAGATGACCGAACCTGCTTCTCTCCTTCCTATTGCAAGGTACAGCCATCCTGCTGTGTTCCAGCTGAGAAATGTCTCCCAGCTTGCCATGACACAGCTTTTAGTAGCTACCAGACTTGGACACACAAAGATCACAAGCTCCAGGCTCTTACCTTAGGAAACAAGAAGAACGATTACAAATGAAAGCTGGCTCTCAGATGCCCGCCTTGAGTTACCCTTTATTTTAACTATGGAAAGTGTGACAGCAAAGGCAGCCCGATCCACAGAGTGATCTGTGATAAGAAAAGCACATACTTTGTAAATGTTATAATCAGTAAATCATCCTTTTTGAGTTTTTTGTTTTCATGTTTAGGTTTCAATGTGAAAAGCTAGTCCTTGTTGGAGACCCCAAGCAACTGCCACCAACTGTTCAAGGGTCTGACAGTGCTCATGAGAAGGGCTTGGAGCAGACTCTGTTCGATCGGCTCTCCTTAATGGTAGGTACTACCAGTACTTCAACAGCATGGAGGGCGACGTTTGAGGCCCACTGAAGTCAGTAAAAGTCCTGCTTTAGGTGTCAGAAGGGCCAGTGTTTCGAAGTTAAGTCACCTCACTGCAGGAATTACTTTTGCTTATTACTTGCTTGATCTAATTTGCCTTGTGAAAAAGTTAATATATTTTTTGCCCGTTCCCATTTTCTGCATTATAATTCCATAGGGACATAAAGCAGTACTGCTTCGGACACAGTACCGATGTCACCCTGCTATCAGTGCTATAGCCAACGAGCTCTTCTATGGAGGAAGTCTGATAAATGGWGTTTCAGAGGAAGACAGAAGTCCTCTGTTGGACTGGCTCCCAACACTCTCTTTTTATAGTGTTAATGGGGTGGAGCAAGTAAGCTTTTAAACCTTTCTTATATTATTCAAATCTCAATATATTGTCATTTTTTTCCATTTCATTTCTATTTGCAATGTCATGATGCAGCAAACTGTATTTCAGCTGCTGGTTACCAGACCTAAATCAGAACTTCCCCCTCTTTTACAGATTGAGAGAGAKAACAGCTTCTATAACATGGCAGAAGCTCATTTTACAGTTAAGCTAATCCAGTCTCTGATTGCAAGTGGAATAGAAGGATCTGCAATTGGTGTGATTACTCTTTATAAATCACAGATGTGCAAGGTTTGTACAAGATATTACTAGTAAAATATTTTCTTAAATTTATTATTTTGGAATAAACATAGGGTCCATTTGAATTGGAAAAGAGTGCAAAAAAGTGCAAAGTCTGTAATTATTCCTCTAAAAAATTAGAGAAAATTTAATTCAAAATTTAATTCAAACTTGCCTCACTTTTTTTTTTTTTTTTTTGGCTTTCCCCTCCCGAGTGCTTTATCTGAAGACAAGTGCTTGCCTCGGTACGCGTGTCACTCCTCAACGTCTGCATTCGTTTGTGTGCAGGTTCAGAACTTGCTTTGCAGTCCGCACTCCGAGGCCCTGGAAATGAAAGCYGTGCAGGTGTCCACTGTAGATGCCTTCCAGGGAGCTGAGAAGGAGATCGTCGTTTTGTCGTGCGTGAGAACAAGACAAGTTGGATTCATAGATTCAGAAAAGAGAATGAACGTTGCACTGACGAGAGCAAAAAGGCATTTGTTGATCGTTGGAAACCTGGCCTGTTTAACCAAGAACAGACTGTGGGGAAGAGTAATCAATCACTGCAAAGGTAATATATTCCTTTCCTTTATTTTCAAAATCAGGTAGCTTGCTGCTTTTTATTCTAGATGTACGACACATTGCAAGCACGCAAATGCTTTCAGTTGTATCTGCAAACCATTTTCACACTTGATATTTCTCTGTTATCCGGCAGTGAGACTTCTCTTTGGTGCCATCCAGGCGCTGGGATCACTAAGCTCTATCACGTAATTTCYCGTTGCTGTGCTTGCGAGTGACTGCCTTGCAAACATAATCTTGTTCAATCAGGCCACAGAAGCAAATACAGATTTTGGAATCAGTTTCTTACATAGTTTCCACATATTCCTGAGGTTTACTGTAACTCTCTTTATTTCATCAACTTGAAAACCAATTCTGTTTAAAACCAGCAAAGCCCAAAGCCTCATTGTTACCCCCCTGTCCAGCTCTGCTAGAGGTGTTTAAATGCCTGAGCATTTGTCATATACATCTTTGCTTCCCCCAGCACGCACGCTTTGGTGAGGCAGGTCATATTTCCTCCCTTCATCCGTGCTTGAGGTCATCTCCCTTGAAATGAGGCAGTTCAGATCGCCAGGTATTATTTGGCTCTCAGCTCTAGATTTTTTCTTTTTGCAGCCTTGGAAGGTTTCTTTGAATAAGTCCAGATCATCTAAATAAGCTTAATAAAAGCTGACTGGATCTGACTTGGTGCCCACGGAGGTGCCCTTGCAGAGGGGCACGTCCCCTCTCAGAGGAGCAGAGCTYCTCATTCACAGGGAGGCCCCGCTCTCTTCAGACAAGAGATGGCGAATCTTGGCAAGAGATTCACTAGAGCAGGTGCCGAAGGGAGAGGTGCTGAAGTAGGAGTTATTTTACTTTACTTTCTACTTGGCTAACATCAAATGAAGCATCTCATTAATGTCTGAAGAACAAATGTCAAAGTAGAAACAGTGTAACAATTTGTTGAGTTTGAGGAAGTAGATATTTTCATCATCAGAGACTTATTAGGATTGATGGATATTGTAGAATGAGATGTAATTATCCCATTTATTGCTGGTTTTAGGATGGGAAAACGGATTACAACATGCAAGCCACTGTGAGCAGCAGCTAAACAGCATTCTTCAGTGTTATTTGGAGAAAAAGAGTGAAGAGGAAAACGATAAGAAAAAGGAAAAATAAAATGTGTGTGTATTTTTATGTCTTGAAACTGTAACTTGTGTGTTCATAAAAACCACTAGAATTCTTGGAGCCAATGTAGTGTTTGTTCCAGGCGGGAYAATGACTTTAAACCCTCCCTTTGCGTGTTTGTGACCTCCTGTTTGCACCACGACGAATAAAGCCCCTGCCTGTGCTCCAAGGCTCTCACGTGGGGGGCGTTCCGTGGGTCCCACSCAGCCTTTGGGGGTGCCCTGCGGGGTGGCCGTGGGGCCGGCACGGGGGCTGTACTGTGCCCGCCAGGGGGCACTGCGGGCCCGCAGTGCAGCGCAGGTCAGCGCCGCGCGGGGTGTGGGGCGCCCCAGTGCAGGGCTCAGCACCAGCTGTGGGGCGCCCCAGTGCAGGGCTCAGCTCAGGGTGTGGGGCGCCGCGGTGTGGGGCTCAGCGCTGAGCAGCTCAGGGAGCGCCAGCGCAGCCCCGCGAGCGGAGGGGCGCGCAGGCGGGGGCGGCAGCGGCACTGAATAGCGCCTTTAAATTACTGCTGACACCTCTGCCGCAGCTCCCTAAAATCTCAATCAACAATCCATTAGGGCTCGCGGGGAGTAAAACTAAATCCTCGTTTAAGTGTATTTATCCAATCTCTTTTCTCTCTTTCAAATGCTAAATCCATTTCAGCATATGCCCCCTTCTTTCCCTCGCCTTTCTCTGAAGACTGGCAGCCTATACTACTCTTGTAAATATGAAAGATGCTAATCATATGACATATCACGTCTCAGTCGGAGCCTGGAATAAAGCCTTGAGATTTGGGATCATTGCTTCCAGACAACAGCTTCATCAGCCGGAAAGTTGGTTTTTTTCTCCTTTCCTTCAACTCTCAATCCCTTCTTTGTCTGGGGGAAAATGCAGCCAACTCGAGCCACCCTGGCCATATGGTTCACTCTGTGTTTTCTTAGTTGAATTCTGAATTGTTTGTGACTTGCGAAGGGTTTTTTTTCTTTCTTTCTTTCTTTCTTTTTTTTCCTTGGAAGTGTGTATAAAGATATAGGAGAGGCTGCCCGCGCTGGCGGCTCTGCGGGGCTGCTGCTTCACGTGTTCCTTTCGCGCGCTCCTGCAGCCACTTCCCTGCTACCGCCCCGTGCAAGAGCTAAAACATAAAGCTCCGGGCACGCTTTTAACAGCAACCCAGGGCAGTCCAGAGATCTTAGCGGCCGGGACATTTTTTTCCCCATCCAGAGGATGAAAATGCTGCTTTTAGCTTCTGTTTTGCAGCAGTGCCTGGCCCCATCCCCAACCGGCCGTGGACTTGTGGCAAGCGTGCAGGGAGGGCAGGCACCTTGCGGCAACCCTGTTGCGAGCGTCCCACGTTGGCCGGGGGGCACRGCCGTGCCCGGCAGGACGGGAGAGGCCCTTTTAAGATGTGCACGAGTTAGGAGCTGAATGAGCTGGGTGCGCTCGCGTTTGGATAGCCCCTGTTTGATAGCAGCCTGCCAAATTCTCTTTCTCTCTTTCCTTACACAAACCCCCAAAAAGGCCCTTTCACCAAATCATTAAATTCTACAGAGGTGGTCAAGCTAGTCCTGCTTTTCATGCGCTGRAGAAAGAAAAGGGTCCTTGAAGTTTAGAAGATGCCCAAGGAAAACTCATTGAATGACATCAAAAGAGCGAGTTTCCATAGCTGTTGAAGCACGAGAGCTGTGTAGCCRCACAAAGGCGGGTCGGGGCAGTGGGACTGTCCCACTGCTCTATCCCAGCACAATTGGGTCACTGAAATAGGGAATTAATTACCATTGGAGAGTGGGCAGCCCATTCACCGCTGGCTGAGTTTTATTAAACGCCAATATAAATAACAAAACAACTCTTGTGGCTGCACTATTCCTACACGCCAAAGGAAGGATTATGTTGGGGATTAACATCTTAAAGTCTATGAGACTTTCTGACTCAAGGCTCGGAGCTGGTAATCGTATTTGTCTCCTGGTTCAGCGATTAGTGCTCTCCCCGGCGCACCTTCGCCTGCGTGGCCAATGTCCCTTTTTGCAGGCACCGGGTTTTTCACACAATCGGCTGTTCTTTTCCCCACRGCTATAGAAAAGAATAAGAAAACCGGAGCGTGTTCACGCGCGCCTCCAGCTTCTTCTCTCCTTCCTGGGAAAGGAGGGCACCGGCGGCCTTTCTTCGCCAGGGGGGCGCAGCCCGCCGTGGGGCTGGGCAGGGGGCGGCGGGGGGGACGGCGCTCTGGGGCGAGGCCACGGGCCTGCACCTGCCATGCAAATCCCACGGGACAATCGCGGCCGCCGGAGCCGCCGCCGCCGCGTGCGGCTCCTCCACAGGGGGCAGGGGCGACGYGGGCCGGCCCGGCCTAAGCCCGGCCTGTGGGGAGCCGGCAGCAGGGCCTGCGCCCATCCTGCCCCTGTGGAAAGGGCCGGGGAAACAGCCCCATTTCCACCCCGGGAGGGAGCAGCGTSAGTGCCCGTGTCCCTCACGGGGCCGCGGGGCCATGGGGCGCAGGGCAGCTCCGACCCGTGGGCCGGTCGGGCCGCGCCGACGCTCTCGACTTGTGAGGTCGCCGCGCGGCTCCCGGGGTCTCTGGGCGACACCGACGCCAGAGTTTTAGGGCTCTCGGGTCGCCTCGGAGTTCAAGCTGCTTAGGGCAAACAAAGGCGCCCCGAGGGGCGCCCCCGCGCCCGCCCGGCCGCCTTTATCTCGGGGCTGTGTGATAAGCTTAAACCCTTGCGCGCACGTTCTTGACGGTCGCCTCCTTGGGGCTTTTGTCCGCGCGGAGCGGCAGCGCGCCCGGCAGAGGGGCTGGGGCTGAACAGCTTGACCCCTCGGGGACAGTTCACGCGGCGGCCGGCAGCCGCCCCCCTGCCCCCCAGCGCAGCACCCGCCCCACAGGGCCGCCCCAGACCACACAGGAGTCCCTCTTACCCGGCCAGGCCACGCAATGCTTGTGTGGGGCAGCRCGCAGCCCCTGTCCCCGTGTCACCACCACGCGTGCCCTCCTCGCCCCACGGCACCGCCTGCTCCCCTCAGGGGTCCCCAGGGGCGCTCGGGTCGCAGGGGCTGCAGCAGCCGCCGGGGCCCAGGTCTGACACTGAGGATGGGAGGGTGGGTGCACACAGAAGGTCGGGGTGGCCCCGCCACACGCCACGCTGCCCCACGGTGTCAGGAAGCGACGACGAAGCAGGAGCCGCCACAGGGAGCTCAGCCGCCCTTCGCACCACGCTGCCCCATGGTGCCAAGGCAGCGCGTGGGTCCCCCTTTCCCTGCCCGGGAGGCGGAACAGAGCACCAAAAATGCCTTGGACATGGAGCGGCTCAGTGATGAACAAGTGCAGTTCGCTGGTGCTGCAGGAGGAGGCAGCTCTCCGCTGGGCAGCGACACTGCGCAGCACGCCTGGGGATGGGGCAGAGATGGACCTGAACAACCGGGGCTCAGGTCCCCAAGGCACGGGCGGCAGCTCTGCCCCACGGCCCGGCCACGCTGGCCCCACAGCGAGTGGCCGCAGGGCCACCAGGGACAGCGCGTCATTGGGGATGCCTCCGATGGGTCGGTTTGTCCCGCCGGGGGCTGCTCCCGCAGGCTGTGCACGGAGTGGCGGCACCGGGAACCTGCCGCCAGCGCCCGGCTCCGTGCCCGCACCCGCCGGCGACTCGCTGTCCACGGGGCCCCGCGGTGACTCGCTGTGCACGGGGCCCCGCGG